CATCTAACTTTTGCTGTTGTTTCAAACAAAAACCTAGAAGCTAGAAAATCCCAGCAGCACCAGCCCTAGATCTATATTCAAATGATGAGAGATCAATGCTCCCCTCTCCTGAGGACAAGGCAGATCAGCACTGAGGGTTTACCCTGCACTGCCTCCACCAACAAGGAGATACCCCAGCACACCCATCAAAAACAGAGACATTGCTGACAAAAGTCTTTGGTTAATCATCTGAAGGAACAGAAAAGCCAGGAATTGTGTATTATTAATGAAAATGTAAGTAATTCTGTAAGAGCCTCATTCCATTGCATAATACAGTTAAAGTTGCTTATAAGGCTTCCTTCCCGACACTTCAGCCAAATTAAAGCAGCTCTCCCAATTAGGAACAGTCTTGTCCTATGCACAGGGGAGCTGCAGAGCTCATCCACCACTGTCATTAAACCCAACTGCAATGGTTTACTTAATCCAGCAACTTTATGTTCTCCCCGATTACGAAGGTTACCTTTCTCACATACATTTTACATCAAAAGTGTGAGAGATGCACCTCACTGCAGCTCCATGTGCAAAGAACTGAATCTTAGAGTTTTAATCCAATCCCAGATCTAAATGAAGCCAAGAGCTGATGTGGAGCCCACTATTCCTCATCATAAGCCAAGCCCTGCATTCATCCTGCCAGCTCCTCACTGATGAATTATCCAAAATTCCACCACAAGCATTTAAAAATATTATGTAAGAGCTTTTGGCATTCAATACAATGGATTCTGTCCCTCTGGATGTATTTATGTAATTTGGAGAGCTGCAGGAAGGATATACAGCACAGCTATTGTAAATTCGGAGGAAGAACTGCAACCCAGTTTGCAATACAAAATGCCTTCAAAGTGACCTTTCACCACCGGTTATGAAAACAAAAAACTCAACCCTGTGGTAACCTTTCCCACTTCGCCTCAGCTCCCACATGAGGTGGAACACAGCACATTTCAACACAGTGTCTACATCAAAGAGTTCCTTCCCTTTGCATCCCATACACAACAGCCTGCACTGCCCACAAGCAGCTCTCGTGGGTCCGTGCTCTGCGGGCAGCAGGAATGAAACACAGAGCAGATGGCAGAGCCTCCTCTGCTCAGGCCAACACCCCACTGATTCTAGGAAGTGAACGACCCCACGTGCTACAGAAAAAGCCAAAATCCTCAGCTTGCTTTGATCAGGATGCTCTTGCTTTCCATTCCTCATATCCAGTAATCTGATTTTCTCAGATACAAGAGTGAGTCAGATGCAGCATTAGCATGATCTAGCTTTAACAGAACAAAACACTCCAAAATCCATAGATTCAAACTGCATACGTTCTGTGGATGTAGAGGTGGGCACAAGGACATCAAATACGTTCCAGGACTTCTCTACTTGTGGTTTGAATCTCCTCTCAATTTTCAGGTCACAATAACATTGGTCAGTGCATGTCAGGTCAAGTGATACCAAACCATCATTCATCTTGAGACCTGCGCCTGATCTCCCCCTTTGCATTACTTCTACAATGCAGGGACGGAGGCAGAGGCTGAGGAAACAGAGCAGAACCACATCACCCTGCAAGATGTGACAACTGCAAGAACACACTGTGCAGGAGTTCCCAACACACATTTCTCAATGCTTCTTCAAAACAACCGCTGGAGTTCACAGACAAATTTCTGCTGTTAAGGGTAGGCGCCCATGACTGAGATGTTTAAGCAAGGTACCTCAGTAATGCCAACACAAACCCTGGGTCTTAGGCCCAAGACTACTACTAATATAATGCAGTGCTGTCTCACACCACAAGCATATTTTCTTTTGTGGACCCATAACACCTCCACAGATACTGCTGTATTTCTGTATCTCAAATTCTGCCTTCACTGTTCAACTGAACTATCTGGAGTGGTCAGAAAAGACAACCAAGAAGGTCAGCTCTGTCTTTTACCATCAATCACCCCGTGAATCTGAGTATAACCATAACCTGCTGCCTCTCTTTTGTCTTTACATTTGATCTTCAAAGCACAAGGAGCATTTCACGCATTGACAAAGAGCAACTCTTCTTTCTCTTAGCAATTATCTGATTCAAAGAAGTCTGTAAAATTGACAAAAAATTCTATCTACCCCAATCTTTTTCAATTTGCATTGTTTTAATGCCAATTTTGGCACAGACATCCTGCATAACAAAAGCAGTTCAGACAGTTTCCTGCCTCCCTGCACATGCCTCACAGCCTTTCCAGGCTTCCAGGACTCCTGCTTCCAAGATATAGAAGTCAGAGGCAGTTCTGCAGCTCAGAAGAGCCACACGACGCATGGTGCAGCCACTTGATGACCATGTGCCATTGCTCAGGCTCAACATTGGGGTAACAGACAGATTTTCCTTCAGGGCATCTCCTTCCTTCCAATTATTTAGGAACAGGTCACTTGGTTGCCCCAGAAATAGCTGTTAAGTGCAAACACAGAGTTCTACCATTTCCCCACTACTTGACTGCAGTACAGCTGGTCAATTAAATATTTAATACAGAAATCCTCAATATTTAATTATGGACAAATAGCATTCTTTAGCACTTTTCTTGAAATTGAAAACAACCTTTCCCACTATATCTGCAGATGGGCACAGTTCTAGATGTACTTACAGCTATTAGAAGTCTGTTGTTGACAATATTATAGGGAATTAACATCTAATGAATGACTGCTGCACGTTACAGTCCAATTTCTATATGCAAGGAAACACACTTAAGGGAAACACACTTAACTATCCAGGAACAAATACGCAATAATATTAAAACAATGTTGAAGATGCAACTTTGTCTTATAATGGAACATTTGTGATCAAATGTACTATTTAAAGTAACCCAAATACGTATAGTAACTGAATCTTCACATAAACTTGGTCATATCACCATTTTGAGACTCCTGCCACCAGTAACACTATTTTGGAAAACTGGAGTCCACCATTCTACAAGGCCAGGTGAGAAAAGCCAAACCTGCAGGTCCCTGCAGAAATAAGGAAGCAGAATTTGTTCACCATTCCCCTGCATATCACAGTGCCTGTGCAGACAAAGTGATTTCTAATCAGGTTCCATCTCCTTTCTAAACACAGAAAAACAAAAGCAAGGGGTCAGAAGGTGAGACTTCAAGTCAGAGTTCCTCTCTGCATCCAGAACCCCAAGAAATAGCTTAAGTTTTGAGAGTCCATGTCTAATCAATTTGAAGTCACTTACAATCATCACTGTCATAATCAGTGATTATATGACTGAATTTAATTACAGCCATCACCCACCTGCACTCCAAGATGCTCAGTACTAAGAGGCAACAAATTCCAGCTCCACCACACACAGAACCATAAAGGGTGGAAAAGACCTCTGAGGTCATCATTCTTCAAAGGTATTTTTCCCATTAAGTGTTGGAACTCTCTACTAGTGGGCAAGCAACCTTCAAAAACAATGTAACTAAAGTAAGCTGTCAGGAATCCACTGTATTTCCCCCCTGAATTAAAGAACACAAAGCTATGCCAAGGCTGCTCCACCTCCCTGCATTCTGAGGACGGGTAAACCAAACCTTCAGAAAAACAAGTTTCAAGAATATTGCCGAGGCAACACGACCCTTAATTCTGCAACAATAACCACAGACATTGGGAGGGAAAAAACTCCAAATTACTTACATAAGTCATCTGCAAATAAGATATTCATTTTCCCACATATATTTCAATAATTTAAATAAGACTAAGTGGGAAAAAAAAATCTGAGACATGTAATTTGATCAATCTGAGGTCTCTTAGCTTACTGTGTGGCAAAAGAAGGGTGGCACTGACAACAGTGCCTACGAATGGAATACAGGCACTACAGAGCAACAGCAGGTAAAAAAAAAAATGAAAAAGAAAAAGCAAACTGGCTCACCCAACAACCAGGAACAGCTCCAAGGGAGTGCAACTGCTATCCAGAAACACGCTGCTCCCCGAGCTGCTAACCCTTAAATAAGGGTGAGAAGGGATGATTCCACCCCTTCTGATCACTCAGCTGCATTGTTTGCACCTGAGCTCCCTGGTAAGCCCTTTCACCTGGTGCTCAATCATTGGTTCAGGCTGTGACCTGGCAATTCCACAGCACTGACAAAAACTACCAAACTCCCAATCTGCTCACTTTTTGCAGATTTTGCTCACTTTTCCACACATTCATGTGATGTTTCTACCAGCATGCATTAATTGGAACTGGAATTACAGCCAGAACATGACTGCAAGCTGAACCACCAAATAATTACCAAGAACTTTGAAAACACCTTTTCAGATCAAGGACTGATTACCTTCTCTGAACTCAACCTTCACAACATCAAAGCAGACATTTCAACATAAAGATACATCAAATAACATTAGTGAATCCATCATCCCTACCAGGCAAGGCACTACCCCCAACATCAGTTTGTTTTGAGGCAGGGCTTCCAGTTGGAGGTTACTGGGCTGGAGCTGGGACAGAGCAATAAAGGATTTGACAAGGGACAAGCTGAAAATAACTCTAGGTCCACACCAGCAACTGTTGTGTTTTTTTTCTCCTTGGCACCAACCATTGGCAGTGCCCAGGCAGAACAGGTATAGCAGCAGCACCTTGTGGCCAGAAGAACCCACAGTGGTTGCAGCTCTCCCCAAAGTTCCAGGTGAGGGATGAGCCCCCACACTCCTCTCCTGCAGGTCTCACAGCATCAAGGGGGATCAGCCCCATAACCTTTGCCCAGTGGATACACAGGACATGACTGCTGAGCCCAAACTTCCCTTTTACCCATCTGCTGCTCCTGGCTACTTTATTCCTCTTTGCTTACTAAGCTATTTCAAACAATAAAAATCTTGAAATACTTTTCTGTTAAAGCAAACAGTTTAAGTCTGACCCGGAGAACGGTGCATCTTTGAGTAAATGCTAGCACATCAACTGTTGCCCTAAACGAGTGCATGTGTGAGACAAATTCCTGAGTCAAAGTACTCCATCTGACCTCTGCTGCTGCTTCATAAACAAAGCACAGGTGTTACACACATGAGCTAGAAAACTTAGAATTTTAGCTTAGTACCTTTGAGTAAAAATAGGAACAGGAATTATTGCCTTATACACCAACATATTATTTATTCTGGTATTTGATTAACCTTTTCTTCCCCCTTCTCCCCTTAACGTGCTGAAACTACAAAAAGAAAAACTCTGATTTTAATAAGTGTTAACATTTACACAGGGATTTCTGGCTTCTGACTGTGACCACCTGCCTTAGCAGATTTGAAGCCCAATCTTCTACACTGGTGAGTCTATATCATCAGAAGTATTATTTAGTCTCCAGAGTCCTTTATTGCTCTTAATATACAACCACAGCTCTTTCTACTAAAGGAAGGCCAACGCACTGCATCTGCCTTATAAACACATCTTGTACCAAAGTGCTCAGACTCTCAAGTTCAAAGTCACACAGTCTTTTACATTCTCCTAAATACTTCAGATATTCCTTTTAATGATTTTATAACCTACTTCAAAAGCACGTTAAGTATTCAGATGGTATATATTTCATTCTGGATATCTACACCAATCTTCTACTTGGTTTTCAAACAGACTAATATTACCTATACCTACAACATAGTATGCCACTCTCTTGCTGCCAAGTAGTTGTACGTGCAATCGCTTCTGCAGAGCTCAAGTTTCTTTCCTGTAAATACATTATACATTATTTAATACTATATATTGCTTTCAAAGTACCTATATATAGTATCCTAATAAATATATTATTAACTTGCTGTTTTACAGGTGCTGGCTTCAGTTCATTCTCATCCCTATGTCTGCTGCTGTTTCAACACTGTGGTGGTCAAACTGAGTTGTACTGAGCAGCACCCAGAAAGGAGGAGGTAGAGGGGAGCCATCAGCTGGAGGCAGCCAGCTGGCTCCTGCATAACAGCAGTAAAGCCCTGGGAAAGAATAAGAACTTACAAGATCAGACTCAGCACGCAAGAAGTCACACACCAGTTCTTCAGCTTAGCAGGAAGCCCAGTCTTGCTTTAAACTCTCTGTACCCAAAACAATAGTAAAGCAGAGGAAATTATGGCAAATTAAACTGAACACAAAAACAAATTTGCATCTATTAAACAAAATATGCAAATTCAGTCATATGCAATGTTATCACTGCTCATTTGATTTAGCTTCTTCAAATATTTAAGTTTTAATGAAATAACTGCTCAAACATATTGGCATATATGTACATGCATACATTTAGAGCAGGCAGACCTGCAGAGAAACTAAGTTTTGGGACAAACCTTCAGCTGTTGTAGCCTGTGCCAACCCCAAGTACACCTGTCTGCAGCAACCCAGGTGTGGCTGTGAGTGCTGTGTCAGCTCCAGAACAAGCTGAGCTCCTCTTTCACTGACTGATGGAATCCAGGGCTGGCAATGCTTTATATTGGGTGTTCTAACAATTACTTTCAGCAAATACACAATATAGAGACACAAGAGAGCTAACCGAGCTAGAGGCACTGCTGAGTACTGAGAGCAGCCTCAGGATCCTAATCTGCTCACTACCCAAAGAATCCCTGGGCTGGAATTGCTTCAAGTGCATTCCACAGATCAGACAGGATGTTTTGCTTTTTTTCTCATTAGAAAAACAGAAAAATTTCCTTGTTGTCATTTCAACAGAACAGGATTTCAGAGTCATTCTGTAAGAAATAAAGAAAAAAAAATTACAGCATGCAGTCGGCAAGTGTACTTCTTTGATTTTCTTACTTCCTCACACTATGACACTAGCTGTATTTTTGAAACTGGAACTGCTACTGAAGAAAGATCTTTCAAGCCTTGTCAGACAAAGCAGTTTTCTCATGCAAAAACATTTCCCTCATAGCAACAACAGCTTCACTGAGGTGATTCCAAAGTGAGCAGAACACCACAGCCAAAGAGCCACAGCCAGCGACCAGGCAAAGGGATAAAAGACCATCCCTGCTTCCCTTTGATTTGCTATCAGGTATCCTCGTTTCATCTACCGTGGGGAAAATTATTTCATCTCTTGTTATTTTTAAAGCATATTTAATTCTGAAACAATTGCAAAAGTCTTAAAACTTGTTCCATTATATATAATTATGTAATTTGTCCCACTTTAGAAGTGGATGTTTTAAAAGTATTTTTTTTCTTAATAAGCCTAAAATGTTTTGTATCGTCGCACTCAAACACTTTCTCACGTGCTGAAATTACTGAAAGGTTACACGAAATATACGAGCTACCTTTGACATCCAGGAATTCCAATGTGAGAGCAATGCCAACTCTTCCAGAGTCTGAGGCACAGAGGACCTCATCACCTCCCAGAGCTTTTTACTATTAACACAGAGAAGTCAGTGCTGGTTCCACCACGATGCGCTTGTTATTTGCTACTCAGAGCCACAAAGGATTTGAGTGTTTCCATACTATGGGCTATGGCAGAAACAAGACAGGGCACAGCTTGAAGGCTTTTTATAACTTTAAAAGAAAAATCAATACTCTATTAAACTTTTGAAGAGATCTTAAAGGTCCATTTGGACTTATTTCCAGTTTCTCTGCAGAGGTGTCAAAGGCTTTTGAAAATGCAAACTTTTTTTTTCTTACTTTTTTTTTTTTTTTTTTGAAGACATCCATTGGCATTGATAACTCTATCTGAGAGAAGCACTAAGGAGCTTGATTTTCTGCCTCTGAGTACTGCCAGGTAGAGGGAAGTTGAAAAACACGGAACTTTCATACAGGAGTATATTCACAAAAGAGCTCAACTTTAACATGCTGAAAGAAAAAAAAGAAAAGGGAAGGAGGAAAGTAAGGAGGAAAAAGAAGGGGGGAGGGGGGGAAAAAAAAGACAGAGACTCAAGCAGAAATTGTATTTCTACACTGTAAATATACAACTACTTGCCCAGGCTCCCACTGCAACCCATGACAGAAATCTTGGCTGCAGAGCTCACAAGCTCCAAGCACTGTGCTCAGTCCTTTCAGATCACTTTACTTCAATTTTAAACCAGGAAAGATTGCCTTCCAGTGCTGCAGAATGCAATCACTCACTGATTGACCACTCAGAAGGCTCTGATTTATAGCATGCCGGAACTGACTTGAAGTAAGTGGCAGCTCTGACTAGAAGAGAGGATCGGTGAATCCAAAGATTAAGCTTTCTTTCAATAGAAACAACCAACCAGAAGTTTTTCACAAGTAAGCCAAGGCTGTGATTCTATGAACTACTAAAGAAAAGAAAAGAAAAAGAAAAAAAAAAAAATCAAAATCTGGATAATCAAAATAACAATACTGAAAGCCAGAAACAGATTCTATTCAAGGTTTGTCATTTTTCCTAAAATTCCTTCAAATTATATTGATTTCCAGACTTTACAGTATTATGTCACTAAAGAAACAGGAAAGTATCTGACATAGTTTATTTCCAGACAGCACCTCTATAGCAGGAAATTCACTTTAAGCTGAACACAAACCCATTAGCTTTCTTGTTCACACCTCAATCAACGAGAAGCCTCTCAGTGATTTCAGATGGTTTCAGTGTTTTGCCCTTTGGTATTTCCACTTTTGGTTGTGATCATAACAAGAGGTAGTGAGGGTGAGACAACCCAGAAAGCACAGAGGAGTCTTTAGCTCAAGCATCAAGAGGTTATCATTCATGGTTTCACTTCCTGCACATTCATCTCACAAAAACTAAGCTCTACTATCACTTGCAGCTTGAATATTGATATCTATACATTATAATATTCCTAGAAGATTTATGGTTGAGCTCAACCACTCCAAGTCAGACAACTGTTCAGATGCTGTAGTCTCAGCCAAAAACCATTAACACACAACGTACATTTTCCATACATGTAACTACCTTTTCTCTAGTAGCCTCATTACTATGGAGTGTGAAACAGGACTCAGCAGAGGAGGTATCTGCACTGGTTTACTCAGTGAGCTATCAAAGAGATAGAAGAAGGGCTTGGCTTTCACTGAAGCACGCAGGAATTAAGCAGTCAGTTAAATGCAGGAAATGATATGCATTTGGATTTCCGAAGAAATAAAGTAATGCTTGTTTTAGGTAGGTAGGTAGATGGTCACACTAAGCCCTGGATAATAAGCTAGGTTTTGATTAAAAGGTTAATCTGTCTACATGGACCTCAAAGGAGAGGCCAACCATAACCACCAGCATATGAGAACTTTCCAATTAACGCTGCAGGAAGCACCAGGAATGCACGAAGAGGGAACACTTCACCACCACTACATTCAGAATTGCTCTAGAACATCAGGTAGACAAAGAGGGAGATAAATCTTCCCGGCTGAATCTTTGTAAACACACATGAAGAAATGAGCAAGGGCAGCTGCAGCCTGGCAGTCAGGGCCCTGGCTTGGCTGCAGGTCTGTCAGGGCGTGCAAAGGCTGGATATGTTCCCCAGCTGCAGCTGCCAAGGTTTGGGGTTGCTACAGTCTACGGATCAGGATGAGCTGAAAAATTCTGGTTCTCTATTATACAAAACAAAATGTTGGATAACACATTTGATTCCCGAGCATCCCCAGAGCATTTAGTACATGCATCCTGCGTCTTGCTGGAAAACAGCATCAACAGTGATTTCTTGAAAATCAAACAGGATTTTCTTTTTCCCCAAACTCTTCAGGATATTTTTGCACTTCTCTCATATTATCTTCCTACTGGAAACTGTGCTAGATGAGGCAAAGCTCTCATCTTCCTTTACTCAAGTGCCTTCACAAAGTGCTCCAGTAGCATCTACTGAATGTGACTTTAAGTTCCAGGGAACCCAAGGTTACTTGTTGGTCTGCAAGCAGGCAGCTTGTTCAAATTTTGTGCAGACTGCAGCCACAGGCTGCCTGAACTCTATAGCTGTCTAATTTCCTTTCATTTCTCTCTCCTCGCTATATACAGTTGTCTCAGAAAATTCCAAACTTGTACAGAGTAGGCTATCCTTTCTAAAACTAAATGCAGAACTTTATGCTCTGGGTGCTGGCTCAAAAACATAGCAAATATTGCAAATTTTGAAGAAGAAAAAAAAAGAAAGATTAAAAATGATTTTTGTCAGCAATCCTTCTAGACACTGTTTTCTGGATCTGGAAGCCAAATACCTCACTTCCTCCATGAAGTGGCTGTGAGAAGCTGGATCTAGCAATGACTTCCTTGTCAATTTCCCCCTACACCCCAGAGCCAATCCCTGAAGCTTAATTCCAGTTTTCCTGACAGCAGCTCCTTCTGAGTGGTAGGGATGTGCATTACATCTAATTAGGACCAGTCTTCCACAGAAAGAAATAATGGAAATTCTGGAACTGCATTCATCTTGAACTGCCTCCTACAAACTGATTTTTCTCAGGCATAACTTCCAGTATTTTTAAGTCTCCTCCTGCCATACTGCAAACCTTCATGGAAAAGCCTAATAGAAAAATATGTATTTCCATTCAAATATGCCAAGAGATCACAGCCTACACTTTTCACAATTACTCCAGGACTTGAACCGAACACTTGTGTTGTAACAAACCCTTTCTGCTTTTCATATTTCCATCGCAAACTCTCAGACATCAGCAGCGTTGTCAGTCACAGAACAAAGCTGCTCAGTTGCCATAAGCCACGAAGCTCCCCGGAGCTGAACTCCTCTAATGCAGCACAAGACTTCTGCGAGTTCAAACCTGCTGCCAACCTTTAAGAACTCGACACCAACCTGCTCTGTTGTTCAGCCTCTCTCTCAAGGCTGCAATGAGAAAAAAGCTGAATTTTAATCCTTTCCTGCAGAAGCAGATGCTGTGCCACCTCAAAATACACAGATTTACATCAAGTGCACGACTCTCCACTGAAAAGCATATGTACAGATAACTCAAAACACATTCTGATACCAGCTTTAGGGAGATCAAGAGCAGCTCCGAGGATGGAAAGGAACCAAAAATCCCTATTATCTTCTTTTCCATTCGAGTAAGTCAGTATTTTTTTCCTTGAATATGCTTTCTCAGTATTGCTGAATGACAAATGAGAACCCATCCAAATCTTCCATAAAGCCACACAGAGAATGCAAAACATGACATAAAAATATGAAAACAGCTTAAGAAGTAGAAACAGTAACAGCTTCCTAACAGGTATGGCACAGGTGCTGGAAGTTCAACCACATTCACCTTTACTTTGCACCCAGAAACTTCCACTACAGAAATCTGAATTCTCATCTGCAGCAGCACACAGATACGTGATAGACAGCATTAGGTGCCAGGAGTGGAGTGAGCTTGAAGCAGTTACCTCAAGTCCCTGCACGTTCAAATGCAGTCAAGTGCCACTGATGCTTTGCTGAACTGCAAATCCAGATCCAAAAGTGGAGATGATTGTTAACTTCCTACTTCCCCAGAAAGGACTTGAAGAAATGTTTGGTTTCACCGCTACTCTAAAGTGTCATTTGAAAAGGAAACTTCAGTCTGTTCTCCAGAATTCCTTTTCTGGATCTGAGAATGGCTCACAAACGTGGCTCTCCCAGAAATTTGGTTTTCACCTTATGTGAGATAAAAACCTTCCTCCATCGCTCACAGAAACATTTGTGCAATACTGATGAATAAAACCTAAACGAACATGCTCAAATCTAAAATAATGCTGTCACAGCAAAAATAAAATATTCATCATGGACTGCAAAGACCTGCTGTGGCACTCAGTGCTGAAACCCAGAAGGATTTTTCATTTATTAACACCCAGTCCTTGTTCAACAGCATACTAATGAAGTTAATCTAAAGGCTAAATTTCAATTATGAATCACAGAGCCACATCTCTGCTCCCTGATTGCTCGGATAATCTGAATCAAGCGTTCTCCTGTACAAAGTGCCATGGTTGACTGCACATAAAAGTTCCTGAAACATCAAAAATATTCAGTCCAGAAGGCAAAACCTGAC